CCCCTAAACCAGCGCAAGACAACCCTTTTTTTTTTTACTTTTGACTTTTTTTTTGCCCCAAAAAGCCGTTGTCCGGAAACCCGGACGACCCGGACCACGGACGTCTGGAGGAGACGTCCGGCCTCCGGACCATATTGGTAACCTAGCCGAAAAGGTATTTTTGAATAAATTTTCTATTTTGCTTTTTTTTTTTTTTTTTGGGAAAAGTCTCAGAATGCTACATTTTGGCATGACTTGTGCATCCTGGCATTCAGGGGTGAGGCCTCAGTTACCAAATTAGGAAAAAATTGGATCCAGGGGCGATGTCTCAGTTACGAAATAAGGAAAACAAAAAGTACGTCCAGGGTTCTTCATTTCCGTCCTTTTTTTTTTTCCTTTTTTTTTTCGTTCTTCATTTCTGTCTGTGGATTATGTAGATCAACAGCCCCCCAAAAAAAAGAAAAAAAAAAAGCAGTAATTAAAAAAACCTCTGTGATGTGAGACGTCGCTCCTGCTCATCTGGATGTTCGTCAAGTCTTTACAAATAAGAAACATGTTCAGGTTCGGTGGTGGGGCCAGAGGCGGGTGCACACAACCTGGGGGACAGAACAAGATGAACTGCTGCTGCTTCCATTGGGCCCAGCAGACCCGGTTTTATGCGGACCGTTTTTCATTGAAGCTGGTCCGGCAGGGGCCGTAAAACCAAAACAGAGTGTGTAGCATAACGCATAGGGAGAGAGAGAGGTGCACTCGGTCGGTGGGGGCAGAGGCAGGAGCACACAACCTGTGGAACACAACAATATCATGGAGATAGTGTCTCTGCACGTATTTTTGGCGTAGGGATTATGTATATGACCTGTTTAGAGGGAGCACAAACGTCACATGTCTTTATATCTCTCTGTCTCTCTCTCTCTCTTGCTCTGTGTCTCTTGCGAGTGTGCACATGCACGCAGTGTGTGGTGATCCTCTCTCTATCTGTCCGTTGGCATAGTGCGCAAAAAGAAGAGCATACTTCGGCACCACAGGGTGGTATTATGTGGGTCCGCGGGGTGGTACCACATGGGCCTGGTTATGTTATGTGGTGTCAGTGGTGCTGTGTGGGTTGGGTGGTACCATGTGGACTGGGCCCATCTTGGTGGGTCATGCATAGTATGTAGACTGGATCGTACTGTGTAGGTACAGGTGGTTACCTACATAGTACGATCCTTTTCTTTGGACTGGGACCACCAGTACCTCCCGAAGCACTCCTCTGGACCTTTTCTTTGCAATCCACAGAACCTCTCTGCACACCATGTGGGCTGGGCCCATCTTGCTGCAGGGTACTCTGACTGGTGGGTCATGCATAGTATGTGGACTGGATCGTACTATGTGGGGTGGGTCATGCATATTATGTGGGCTGGTTAAACCACCAGTACCTCCCGAAGCACTCCTCCGAACCTTTTCTTTGCAATCCACCGAACCTCTCTGCTCTCTGTTTCGTGTTGATGCAGCTGGTGAAAGGCAACGATACAGTGGGAGACCGGTCCTTCAATGCAGGGGACCGGTACTCCAACCTGGAGTGGTTCTTTTTTTTTTTCCCCCTTCTTCTATTCTTTGCTTTTTCCCTTCCCCTTCTGTTTTTTTTCTTTTTCTTTTTCCCCTTCTCTTTTGTTCTGCCTTATGCATGCCGCTGCTACGAGAAGGGGCTTAGCTCAACCACTTGCCACCTGCACAGAAGGCGACAATCACGGCACAGAAGATTCGTTTTCTTTCAGGACCATGGTCTGCACCAAGCACAGCAGACAAAAGTGATGGCAGCGAATCTTTCCACGTTCTTGGAAAGGTTCGCTCACAATTGCACATGCGGTGAGTGGTACGGCGAGGCCGTTTCCTCATTCATGTATATCATGGTTACTAAGGGCTGTGCTAGTATTCTCTGTATCGGGTCACCTACCAGAGGGATATTCATTCCCTTTTTTGGGGGATAGTAAGGGCCTCCCTCCACTGCTCTCCGCATGCACAAAGGGCAAAAAATATGGCAGTGTATCTTTCCATGTTCTAGCGGAAGATTCATTATCATTCTGTACATTTCATCAATAGTGGAGCGAGGCCCTAAGGCAGCGAGCCCAGCAGCCTAGCTGCTGCAGGCATGCATAAACAACAAAACGACGTTGAAAACGTATCCAGCTGTATCGTTCCTCCCCCCCCGGAATTTGGACTATTTCTGATTTATGTGTGTCGTCCTATCCTTGCTCCGGGCCATGCTAATCTCCTCTGCATCGGGCCCTCTTCTAAGGGAATGTTCATTCATTTTTTTTGGGGGGGGAAGGCAGAGACGAGCAGCCTCGCTGCTGGAGGCACCACATGCACGGAAGACAAAATGTTAAGCTTGATCTTCCCTGCGCAGAGCCATGCTAGTCTTCGCTGTACAGTTCCGTTGACCTAGCAAATATTCATTTTCATTTTGAACTGTCCACAGTAGTGCGGGGAGGCCTCAGGCCCCAGTTGCGGACCTGAAGCCGCCATCCGTGGTGAAAAGCACAGGCGGTTTCTTGTCTTTTTTCTCCTTTCCGTTTCAATCATTGATTTTTTTGGGCATTTCTGTTTTCTATTTTGTTGTGCTGGACGCTCGTTTCCGTTTTGAAAACGAGCGACCACCAGTCTCTGTCCGAGGCTCTACCAAGGCTCCGCCAGGCCTGCCTAGCGCTTGCATGAATGCAGGACATCAATTTTTTTTGCCTGGGCGGGGTACTGGTGGTTTAACGGGGGGTGTTAATTTCGACGAATTGCTGGCGAAAACGGTGAATTTTCTGCCCTCGTTTTCTTTGGCCTGTGCTTTCTTTGTTTGTTTGTTTTGTTTTTAATGTTTGGATTATGGACCAATATCGTTAGTTTTTTAAATTTCGCTGAATTTGCACCGAAATTGCCGGCGAAAACGGTGAATTGTCGGCCCTCTGTTAACCATCTCTGTCTGCTGGTGCACACTTGGGCGACGCGCTGCTGGAGAGCAGTGTCAGTGTGGTGTGAGCTGCGCTAGAGTAGGAGGTAGAGTAGTAGTACGTAGTGGGAGTGCGGAGGTGCAACTTACCTTGGCACCATAGCTGGACTTCGCTCCTGCGACCTGCATCAGAGGGCCATCATCTTTGCTGGCCAGTATTTGTGAGCTTCATCAGTATCAGGTGTGTGTGTGTGTGTGTGTGTGTGTGTGTGTGTGTGTGTGTGTGTGTGTG